GATCTTTATTTATTGAACTCTTCATTGAGACTCAATTTACTCATCAATGACCGAAATCAAATATTTTCACTTTATTTAATGAATATAAATAAAGTTCTTATTGAATAAATAAAAAAATATGATAAACATTGTAACATTAATTAATATTCTGAATTATTGGGTTTAAAAATTTAATACTTGTTTAACAACTTTCATTCAACTCAACTTAGTTCTTATAAATAATATTCGACCACACACGACGTAACGCAGAACACTAACTAATTTTTATCTAAAATCATCAATAAAACTTCAAAATATGAAATCAATAACTAATAATTAAATTTATTGGCAAATTATATGTTTTTCTAGTCTAATAGTTAGATTATATAACTAAAAAAAAATTGTAATACCCATGGCCCAATAGGAAGCCAAGAGTGTTTTTGCACTCGTCTCACACCTAAAAATGCAAGGTAATGAACTATGTCCTCTATCCCGGATCTCTATGACAACGTATAACAGAATCTCTTGTTTAGTTTAAAGTTCAAGGCTTCCTATAAATTTAGCATTTTTGACTAATAGCTTTCGATCAAATCATGATTTCATAATTATTTAACCTAACCAATTCAATTCCATTCATACTCTAACCAATTCATTATACATAACCAATGAATCGCATAATCTTTTATACTTATTTAATTTCATCAATTATATAAGTTAACATATTCAAAACAATCCAAAATTTATCATTTACAACTCAAAATGATCGAATCTAGGTGATTGTCAAAAGTGAATGAAACCTAGCAATGATTTGGTTTTCAAACTTTAAATTTAGACCTATAGTACATAATTTGACAAACTCTATAGCTCACAACCAACATCCTTAATACATCTAACGGATCCTCAAGCATTGCTTTGCTCACCCATCCTTAATAGTGAGCTAAAGCTTAGTAAAATATAACCATACATGAATACAATTAAATCCATCCTTTGCATGCTTAAAATTCTTCTCTATCTTTCGGCTATACCTTACCGAATATATATAAATTCAACTCTCTTTTAAAACCATCATCATAAAATCCATAAAAGTGCTAGACATGTTCGATTAAATAAACTTCATAAAAGGTTGATCATTCTTTTTTGTCCCTCTTGAACATGCCTAGCCATGATCCGTGTCCTCATAAAATCATGTACATGTCATTTCTTGAATGTTTAAAATCATGATATAAAATATTTCATTTAGTGAATGCAATTAGAATGCAATATCCAATATAAGCATAAACATGAACTATATGACATTAAACCATTCATGAATACATTCTACATGACATGACGAGACGAAAACATTAAGCCTTAAAAAAATATGCACACATCTTAAACAATATCGGGCCATCCATGAACATAATTCAAAGAGCACACATGACCAAACAACATCATGTCTAACCTAACATTCAATACAATCAAAACAATCTTAATTAACCATCAAATCCGACTTTGATCAAGCTATAACATCATTAAGCACTCCTACTACCATAGGCCGAATCCATCACAAAACATTAATATACAATTCTCCATTAAACCTAACTAGGTCGAACCATCTCCCATCCACCAACTTTTCAATTATTCAACCGATCAAACCAAGTAACCATAAGCAAGTCAAACCAGTCAAACACCACCACCACCATTCAATTCTCCAAGCCAACTAGGTGTTTAATTATCCCATATACACATGCATGCCAAATTACATAACCTAAGGAAACCTTTACCTAATTCATCAAGCAACATATCACCCAATGTCACACAACTATTCAATCATCAAACCAAAGTTGAATTACAACAAACATACACTAAATCGAATTCATCAAGACATACCTCACCCTCATTCAATCCTTATAAACACATCAATCATTACAATCCATAAGCAAACCCATCGGTTCTCAAGTGAGCCCTAGTCGAATTCACCAATAACAACACAATAATTCAAACAACAAGCCAAGCCAAATTCATTATTGCTTCCTCAAAATCAATCTATCATCATGTAGTTCATAACCTAAATCCATCAATTAACAACTCACAATCACTCCATCATCAAGAGAATCCATAATCTTAATAATAATATATATCCATAAACTCAACAAGAAGTATATTCCCATAAACACAATTAAAAATCATCAAGTGATCAACCATTAATTAAACTCATAATCAATTAATTATAAGTTCACCACATCACAAATGGCCAATCGTCATTTAATTATATAATCAAACTCTAGAACCAAGAGGACTTACCATTCACCAAGTCAAGTCATCATCTTAATTATTCAATTAATAAATAATCACTTACCCATCATCACATAGTATTCATCATAGCCATGAATACTCATGAATTAAGTTTAACTAACACTTAGTCACATAACCCAAACTAAGAGTTTTCAATTTTTTTCATAAATACCATATTATCCATGCTAAATCTATAATTAAACACATACTCATCATTGTTATAATGATCATTTGCCAATTTGTTACTTATCCAATTACATCATAAAATAAAGTTTCTATTTAATTAAGTAACCAACCCCTAGAAACTCTATATTTATATGAACACCACATTTAACACATTCAATCAACAATTAAACATCCGTCATAACCTCACATTAGTCAATCATTTATCAATTTCACACAATTCATTCAATGGCACAATTTGAAACCCTAGGTTTCACAAGGACAAAATTCACCAATTCAACTCATAATTATCCCAAGTCTTGTAGTGAGTTGAAGTTACACTTATCTTAGGTTTGATTGGACTCGAAAATCAACGTGAAAGCCCTTAAATCCGTACCTCTCTCCCTTGCCAAAACTCTCAACCAAATTAGGACAAATTTGGCTCTCCGCCAACTCTTCTTCACTTAGCTAAGCTCTTTTCCTTTTAGCTAAATTGTCTTCTCTTAGACAATTTCAGCTTCTTCCCTTGCTAAATTTTGGTTTTCTCTTCCCTTCTCTCTTGTGATTTGGTCTTTTTTTTATCTCTTTCTCTTATAGTGTTCAAGCTCTCTCAAAATAGATGAATGGAGGCAAATGAAAATATTAAATGAAACCAAGTAAAAATTTTTCCTTCTTATTTCTCTCTCTTAGTTGAAACTTTTGCTCAAAATGCCTTAATGAGCTACATATTTTAAGATAGTTATTTTGCACTTAGACATTTTAATTTAGATGAAACACTTAATTAAGATGTTATTTTCTAAATTAATACATGTTTAAGTCACTAATTAAATTTTAAATCTTAAGTTACACATATATGAGAATCATTTAATTAATCCATACTTACTAAGTTTTTCATTTATCAATTAATTCACTATTCACACATAACATTTAGCAAACATTGATTTTACAAACAAAACAATTATAATCAATAATACAAGCATGATATGAATATATTTAACAAAATAATTATTCACACAAAACATAAAAATTAAGTTCGAGTATTACAAAAACTCTACTTCTTCATTTATTTCAAATGATGGTAAAAAATTCAAGTAGAGTGGTTTAGTCATGAATGGAGTATCAAATTATATGTATAGCCACACAAATTTTAAAACCCATATCGTTTTCTAGGCCACAACCACAAGAAAGTATAACTTCATGCTAATTTCCCACATTGAATTAGGAGGATTTGTTTATAATACTGTCTAATTGTTAAAAAAAAAAAAAAATCATTTCAAACATAAAGAAAGATAAATACATATTTCATTTTTATAACAATTATCAAGTAATTTTCTTGTTTAAGAAAAAAAAATCTCATAAAAGAAAAGAGAAGATTTGTGGTGTTAAAAATTTGCCTAATAATATTACTAAAGGAATCAAGTTTTGATCCTCGAAAGCTAAACGGAGGATGCATTGATAGCTTACCAAAAAAAAAAAAAAAAAAAAAAAAAAAAAAAGGAGGAAGAAGAAGAAGAAGAAGACCGGTTCCCGATTTGCTCGTGTCAAACACTGCCCTAGCTTGGTCCCTCTCCCATTCCCATACCTGGCTGACGGGCTACAATCCCCCCTGTTCGAAGTAAGTTCCAGTCAAAGGCACCTTTTTCTTTTCGGCTTAAAAAGAAATAGAAATAAAAATAAATAGGTAAAAGTGATGACCTTCTAGCGCTTCAAACAAAACAAAAAATAACCTTCTTTGCTTCCACCATCCTAACCTCTTCTATTCATTTATTTATTCAGTCATCCATGTCTCTTATAATATTCATCCTCACATCCACAAATACAAATACTCATTATTTTAAACGGCCAAGATCACTCCTGCTCTTACACGCAATCCCACCCCCACGAAACTGAACGTCTCTGACCTTCTAAAACTCAGTATCTACCCACTACTCGGTCTTTGGCGATTACGAGGAGGACGCGGACCCAGCCTTTCTTTTGACAATTTTTAAAAAAGTTAGCGATCCGTAACGTCCCTACGCTATAAACAATTGTTTATTTAGGTCCTTTTATCAATTTAGATGTTAATTAAATTTCTGTACTAAATCAATTTATATAACATAAACTTTTTATTATTGATTTTGACTAATGACGTTAATTTAATGGTATAATTAAACCACATATTTTTTGACCGTTGATTCTATTAATTGTTTTTCTCTTCCCATTTTTTATTACTTAAAACATTTATATAAATTATAAAAATATTTCAAAAGTTTTATCTTTTTTTTTAATTTGTTTATAATTTTTATAAATCTTTTAAGTAAGAAAAAAGAAAAAGGTCATAATAGGGATACAATTAACACTTAATTTGATACAAGGATTTGATTAAACAATTACTTGTCTTAAAGATACAAGGATTACGGATCGGTAATCTATTTAAAAAAATTCAGTTTCACTCACCTAGTTATTAAACTTTTCGTTTACAACCCAACACGCACCTCCCTCCCTCTCTCTCTAATTTCTATCGCTAATTCTGGAGAACCTGAAAAGCACACAGCGATACCGAGTCTAAACCAGTTGATACAGTGGCGCGTTTTCTGACTCTCCAAATGGGCCAATCATCTTCCATCGCTGATTATCCAACCAACCGATTTTTAATCTCACCCGAACCCTCAGACGAAATCAAAATGGATCCTCTTATAGACTACACGGAGGACATACCAGACGAATGTTTAGCTTGCATCTTCCAACTCCTCAACGCCGGTGACCGCAAACGCTCCTCCCTTGTCTGCAAACGATGGCTCCGCGTCGATGGTCAAAGCCGCCGCCGCCTTTCTCTGAATGCGCAATCAGAGATTTATTCTTATATACCTTTAATTTTTACTCGATTCGATTCGGTTGCTAAACTCTCTCTCCGCTGTGACCGGAAATTCGTTAGCTTAAACGACGACGCGTTGCTAATGATTTCTATCCGGTGCCAGAATCTCACGCGACTCAAGCTCCGTGGATGCCGTGAGGTGACTGAGTTAGGTATGGCTAATTTTGCTCAAAATTGTAAGAACTTGACGAAATTTTCGTGCGGTTCGTGCAATTTTGGGGTTAAAGGACTTAATTGGATGTTAAAGTATTGTACTACTCTTGAGGAGTTGACTATTAAGCGGCTTAGAAGTGTCAATGATGGGAACGATATGATCGTTCCCGGCTCAGCTGCAGCAAGTTTAAAATCGATTTGTTTGAAGGAGTTAGTTAATGGCCAATGCTTTGAACCGCTTGTGGTTGAATGTAAGAAGCTTAAGACGTTGAAAGTGATTCGTTGTTTAGGCGATTGGGATAATGTGCTTGTAAAACTTGGGAATGGAAATGGGTTTTTGAATGACCTTCATTTAGAAAGGTTACAAGTGAGTGATATTGGACTTGGAGCGATATCGAAATGTGTAAATATAGATAGTTTGCATATTGTGAAGAATCCTGAGTGTTCGGATTTGGGGCTTGTTTCTGTGGCCGAGAATTGCAAGAAGTTGAGGAAGCTTCATATTGATGGGTGGAAGATTAATCGGATTGGAGATGAGGGTTTAATCGCAGTAGCGAAGCAGTGTCCAGATTTACAAGAGCTTGTTTTGATTGGTGTTCATGTTACCCATTTGGGTATGGCGGCAATTGCTTCTAATTGTCGGAGATTGGAGCGATTGGCGTTATGTGGTAGTGGAGCTATTGGTGATGCGGAGATTGCTTGCATTGCAGCGAAATGTGTGGAATTAAAAAAGCTCTGTATCAAGGGTTGTGCTATTTCTGATATTGCAATTGAAGCACTTGCTTGGGGATGTCCGAATTTGGTTAAGGTTAAGGTCAAGAAATGCAGAGGAGTTAGCAGTGAAGTTGTGAATTGGTTGTCGAGGCGCAAAGGGTCACTTGTTGTTAGTTTTGATGCTGTTGAAAGTGAAGGGTTGGATGCCAGTGGTAGTGATCTTGGAGGTCAAGAAAGTGGCGTGGAATTTCCGGTGATGGGTGGCCAAGTAGTTGTTGGGGATGGCCCTTCAGTTAGTACTGGGAGATTGGCATTGTTTAGGGCAAAGTTAGGGCTTTTTGCCAGTAGGAATTTAGTGCCCTGTGCCTTCTACAGGTCGTCAAAGCATGGGGATAGCTCAGATAGCAGTCTGTGAATGATCTTTGTAAGAGTTGGTAAAATGAGAAACCATCTCTCTCTCTCTTTGTCCCCCTACTTTTTTCTGCCGATTGCTCTAATTACTTGATTCTTGTATTTCACAGGATATGTTGTCACAATGTACTTTAGCTCCTCTTTTTTGTGTATTGTTCAATTTGGTTAGCAGTTCAATGAAAACAACAGGATCAAGCGTTTATTTGTGCTTTTATATTTGATTCTTTAACAAATGTTACTTCCCAAGTCATTTAATGTGTTTATTTATCCCAATCCGCCCAGTAGATTGGGGACGTTGAAGTCATTAGAAAACTGCATCATCTTTGGTTTCTTGAATGCTGCGTAGTGCAGCACCTTGTGCGCGACCACAGTAGCCTTATAGTGGTTACAGTTCCGAGTAAAGGTACTGGATATATCTAATGAGAGATTCTTTAATTACGCATTTGGATGAAAGCTTCACATAGGTTACTGGTGATTTTCTGTTACAATGAATGATTCATTGGAATGTTCATGACAGAGAAGCTTCCCTCCCTCTGATTTTTTTTATTTTACCTTTTTAAGGTCTTCATGTTGACAGCTGGGTCCTAGCTTCCTTGGACTATAAACTTCAAGGATCAGTTTTCTCTTTTCAAAAACTTGTTGCAACGAAAGCTGTTTAAAAGTAATGCTGCCTGAGACACATGTTTCATGGTCTAGTTCAGTTCATTTAGCATGATCGATATATTGGTCTCTGATTGGTTTGGATGTGTTGGCATTTGACAGGACCCCCTCATCATTAACCCTGTAGATTGATGTCGATTTCATCCTTTGAATTCTATTGCCTTCTGAATTGGCACAGTTTCCCTTTTTTTTTTTTTTTTTTTTGGTCAAAAGAAGATGCATTTCCATGCGAGTTGTTACACTCAGATTAAAAGATGAATTTTTCTAGAGACTCTAGATAACACTAAATAAGTCTAAAAGCTTTTAAAAGAGTATAGAGTAACAGAGAAGCCTCTAGATAAGTTTGGAAGCTTCTAAAAGAGTATGGAACAATAGATAAGCTTCTAGATAAGTTTAAAAACTTTTAGAAAAGTATGGAGCATTGGAGAAGTCTCTAAAATGATTTAGAGAAATCTAGACATGTTCTAGAGAATTCTAGAGAGTCCCTTACTAATTTAACATATACATATCTAGATAGTTCCTATAAAATATCTAAGTATGTCATAGAGAATATCTCGATAGTTTTTGATAAATATCTAGATAGGATATTTCAGAAAAACAATTGTAGCCATTAGATTAAATATATTCTAATCATCCATTGAGGAGGTGGAAGACTATAAATAGATAAGGTCTTCACTTGACACTGGACACCTAGACTTTCACAAATTTAGGAGAGTGTATCTTTAGAGTTGTAAGCTTTAGAAAGCAATACAAAAAGTGTCTTTCTTGCTTAACAATTTTGTGAGAAAGGCTGATTTGGTTTGCTCCAAGGCACTCGATAGCAACGAACAGGTGTGTGGTGATGAATTTCATGGTCAACCATTAGCAATTGGGGAATCATTTTACACTTGATGAATAAATTGTAGTATTGGAGAAGTCTCTAGGATGATTTAGAGAAATCTAGACATGGTCTAGAGAATTCTAAAGAGTCCATCACTAATCTAACATGTACATATCTAGATAATTCTTAGAAAATATTTAAGTATGTCATAGAGAATATCTAGATAGTTTTTTATAAATATTTAGATATGATATTTCTAGAGAAATAATTATAGCTATTAGATTAAATAGATCATAGTCATCAATTGAGGAGGTAGAATGCTATAAATATATAAGGCCTTCACTTGATTTAGATTTTCATAAATTTAAGAGAGTGTATCTTTAGAGTTGTAAGTTTTAGAAAGTAATATAAAGAGTTTTTATATCTTTTATCTTGTGTGTTTCTTACTTAATAATTTTATAAAAAAATTAACTTAATTTGTCTTAAAGAAAAAGAAATTCAAGTGCTGCTAATGAGATTGGAAAAGGTCAAGTCTGTTACAGGGTGCTGCATAGGTACTTGGAAGTTATGATGCATAATTGAAACCGTTCCATGGAAGTACCAAGTCGTGTTGCTTTTTAAAAGAATTTAAGGGTTTAAATCAATTCCACGCGTCAAGAGGAAATATCTTAGCTTTTGCCAGACATGTGGGGGCATGGTTGAGGCGCAGAATTTAGGAAAACCAAGCAAGAAATTTAACTCACCATGTAATATAGACTCGAAGTTCAAAGTCTTTTGTTCATCACCGTCCTGGTGGCGTTGATTGAAAAATCCTGTGGTGTTTATGCGCTTTTTTTTTTTTTTTTCGCTGTATGAACTTTTAATGTGATATGTTGTTTTGGGATTAAGCTATTTCTTCTCCGGTAGTTAAAGCTCAAAATAAACGCTTCAACCCATATACAAATATGCATAAATTGTCCAATAAGAAATTATTATTATAGGTATTGCAAGTTAAGTAATTTAGGTATTGTTTGATAGTAAAAAATGAAATAATTCCGAATGAGAATAAAAATTTTTTAATATTCATTTTATAAGTGTTTGATGGAAATAAATAAATTATAAATGAGAATGAAGACCGTAAATGATAATGAAAATTAAAAACTTTGATAGAGATACGAATAAAAATAATTTTTTTAAAAAAAATATTGATATATTATTTTTATTTATTATATATTAACAACTCCTATTATCATCATTATTATGATCATCGCTATTGGTGATGGTAATAAAAATATTATTATTATTATTATTTCATCATCGTTTTTTCTTTACATTTGTAATAATTTTTATTATATCACAATTATCGTCGTCCCAATCACCACCACTATTATTTGAGATGTTGATAAAGAGAATTAAAAAATTTATTATTATTATTAGTATTTTGTGTCCACTCCTCCTCCTTTACTATTATCACTTTTATCATACAATCATCGTGAGTGCAAATTCCTATGGTAATAATATCAAATTTTTTTAAATATACATATATTTTCTATTATAGTATTATTACTATCACCTCCTCTACCACTATAACTACAATCATCTATGTCGTTTTTACTGTTATTAGAATTGATTTTTTTTAATTATTATTTTTATCATCTTAAAAATCAGATATTAGAAATTTCAAATTTTATTTTGATTTTCGATTAATAATTTAGACACATAATATAAATATCATTTTAATTTTTTAATTTTTATTTTTATTTTTGTATTTATATTTTGAGCCTTTCATTTCTATCAATCAAATCATACCTTATTTTTTTCCATAAAATTTTGAAAATAATTCAAATGGGTAGGTGGGAGACGACGCCACAAATGTATTTAATCAACTCTAGAATGTTATGGCTCGTCCACCAGTTTTAGCACTACCTGATTTGACTAAGACTTCCATTATGAAGACAGAGGCATCAGAAATTGGGATTGGATCCATGTTAACGTACAAGGGACACCCTATGGATTACATCACCAAGGCATTAGGTTTGAAGAATAAGAGTTTATATCAATTTATGAGAGGGACTTGATGGCTCTGGTACATGCTGTTTTAAGTGGGGGCATTACTTTTGGGGAAGGCACTTCAAGATTATGACCGACCATATGAGCCTTAAATATCTCTCAAAGAGTAAAGGCTTCCTTACAAAAGAAGATAATAGCAGCCACGTTTCATGACTCAAAAATTGGGGGTCACTCTGGAATGACATTAATGACAAAGAAGATCAGTGGTCTTTCTATTGGAAGGGTCAATAGAGAAAATTTATCAGGAAATGCACTGTTTGCTAGAAGTGTAAAGGTGAGAATATAACTTATCCCGGTCTCTTACAGCCTCCGTCCATTCCACAAGCTCCATTCACTCACATTACATCTAGCGATTGCCCAAGTCTAATAATGTTTTATGAATTAATTTGATAGTTAAAAATATATTTTTTATTTTTTAATTTTTTGAATTTAAATTTTAGAGTCATTATTTATTAAAATTTTTTAAATACATCTTATATTATGAAATTGTGAATATGCTTGATTAAAGTTTTTTCAAAATTGATTGATATAATAATCATAATTAATTGTTTTATTTTAGGTTTCTGTATTAAATAAACCTTGGGTGATTTCTGTGATAGTGGATCGGTTTAATAAACATGCACACTTCATGACACTGGTTCATCCTTGCAATGGTCATGGTGTGGCTCTGTTGTTTTTGAACAATGAGTTTAAACTATATGGAATGCCGTCGACAATTGTAATGATAGGATCTTATCTTTATGAGTCAGGTTTGGGAGAAAATGTTTGCTTTGAAAGGGGTGAAATTTCATCATTCCACTACGTACCACCCACGATCAGATGGCTAGACAGAGGTTGTGAACATCTAAAGCACTACTTCACGCGTATGATAGAAGTGACACCATTGTGGTGGTCTAAATGACTGCCTTTTACCTGAGTGGTGGTATAACACTAATTACAACACCTCTACCGAAGTTTTTTTTCAAAATTAATTTTAATTCTTAAGAAAAAAAACCTAAAATGCTTAAAATAATATCATTTTAAGCATTTAATTTATTCTTAAAATTAAAACTAATTTTTAAAATAGCTAATAATTCAATTTTTTACTAAATTAATCTATTACACACTATTAGTTATCCAACAATAAAAATAAGATACATAAACAACTAAATCATTTAAGTTTTCTTAAAGCTAACTATCATTATATTTTTTTAAATTAATTTTAATTCTAAAAAAAAAAACTAAAGTGCTTAAAACAACATTATTTTAAGTATTTCAATTAACAATCAATACTTTAATCATGAAACATAATAAAGTATAAGGTTTGTCTAGAAATTAATAGTTTTGCATCTAAATAAACAAAATTGGTAGTATAAATTTTATTTTGTTATAAACTCAATAGTTTGAGGATATATTATACCATTAAACCCTTATTTACTTAATCTAATTCAAAGGCACTAGGATTTGAATCCATTTTAACTTAATGGTGAACAAAT